CATGGGCAGGCTCAGGCCCACACTGGGTCCCTGTGAAGGTTTAGGGGAGTGGGAGATGCACTGAAACCAGTGACCCCCCTGTAAGCACAGCAGTGGGGTCCTGGTCCTGGGGATGAGCAGTAGCTGCTTCTGACATTTGTGTGGGGGTGAACTTTGGGGGGCTACACCTCAATTCCAGCCCTGCCTCCTCCAGCAGGACTCTATCCAAGTGCTCCAGCCAGAGCCCAGCTCTGCTTCTCTGGTCTCCCTCCCCTCTCCTGCCCTCTGCAGGTGACAAACACCAGCCCAGCTGCCCTAAATACGAACTGATTAAGAAAAATTAAATTAGTGTCCCGCTCTTGTCTCTACAAACACTGTTGGGTCACATCTTGCACTGGGGTGGGTGGAGGCAGCCGAGGAAGCCGCTGGGCTCATGCTGGGGTGCCATGAGCCGAGTCCTCACCTCCATCCCTCACCTGGCTGCTTTCCAACCCCAAAGGGCCGGTGTCACAGTTCCTACCATACCTCCAGTTCGGCATGTGCCACCAGCCAAGTGACACCAGGGGTGACACCTCCTCCGAGTGCAGCCTCCTGGCCCTGCCCCCGGGCCCTACTTGCCCTCACAGAGGCCGCAGAGGCAGCCGAGGCAGCCGTTGATGATCTGGAGGAAGGACAGCACCATCTCGCCACGCTGGCAGCAGCCAGATGGAGAAGAGACCGACGTTTTCCAGGCACGATGCCCTTCTGAGTCCAGGCAGATGCTCCAGTGCCGGATCTAGAGGTAGGTCTGGGCCTGTGTTACGGGAGGGAGAGATGAGATGGCTGCCCGGGCAGGTTCAGGAATCCCATCGCTTCCACCACAGAGGTAGCCCAGAATCTTCCTTCACCCGAGGGTGAGTGGGTTAGGGTGGAAGGTGCAAAGCACATGTAGGAATTCATGAAGGTGGCACCCCTCGAGCTACCAGAGTCTTGCAAGCACCCACCCCCCCCCACCATAATTAACAGTGACTTAATTAGCAATAAGCCAGTGAGGCAGCACCGGTGATTCAGCCCCTCACCTGGCATCGGGCACCTGGCCAGCGGCATCCGGGAAGGGGTAACCCCAGAGGGCTCCGTGCCCCAGGCTGTGCTCAGAGGCGTTGTAGAAGCAGAGGGGGCCGTTGGTCAAACCCACCCCGGAGAGGATGAAGCAGGAGGCAGCGCCCAGGAACGCCAGCTTGGAGAGCACGGTGGAGATGAAGGCCTGTGGGGAACACCGGGCAGGCAGAGGGGACACTGAGAGTCAGGTGGGCTCCAAAACACAGCTGCTGGTTGTCAGCATGTTTGGCAGGGGGGAAAACTCCCCTCCCCTTCACCCCAAGGGGCTCCGGTCCCGGGCAGCTGTGGCTGTGGATGGAGCCATTGCTGGGCTGGGCAGAAGCAAGCAGGGAGTGGAGACAGGCAGGGATGGAAATGGGCAAGGAGCAGGGACAGGCAGGGAGGGAAATGGGCAAGGAGTAGGGACAGGTAGGGATGGGAATGGGCAAGGAGCAGGGACAGGCAGGGAGGGAAATGGGCAAGGAGTAGGGACAGGCAGGGAGGGAAATGGGCAAGGAGCAGGGACAGGCAGGGGTCTGCCATGCAGAGCCTGGTGGGACAGAGCCCATGCCAGCACACATGGAAAGCCTTTCTTCTGGGAAGGGGCCACCCTGCAGCATCCCACCATGGGACCATGAGAAAGGCTACTCTGTGCCATGAACCTCCATAGGGCCATTGGAGAGGGACACCCTGCCAGGACCTGCCAGGGGAGAGGGGCCACCCACCACATCCCACCACGGGATGAGGGGAGAGGGGGTCCATGCCATGTCCCACCGTGGGGCCGTGGCAGAGGTGGCACCCTGCCAGTCCCCCCCATCCCACCCCCTGCTGCTGGGCACTGCTCTAGCACAGGGGTCCCTTACATTCCAGCGGGTGCCGCAGGTGGAGCAGCCGGCACGTCGCCACCCCAGTGCTGTGATGTGGGTCGCTGCCAGCAGCACCTGTGGGAGGGAAAATGAGGCTGGGGGACAAAGAGAAGCCACCTGCCCTGCTCCATCCCTCTGTCCCTGCTCCACAGGCCCGTGAGGGGGGACGGGTGTGACCCACAGTACTCACGGGGATGCCGCCTCCCCAGACACCCGGCACGGCCAGGGCGTGTCTGCTGATGTGCCCCTCCAGCAGGTACTTGGATGCTCCGCCAGGGAAGAGCAGGAGGATGCTGGCTGCCATGGAGAGCGTGCCCAGGGCCAGCAGGCAGGGACCCACAATCCGGCTGCACTTCCCCACACACATCTCAGTCCTGCATGGGAACGGGGAGGGAGAGGAGGAGAGGAAAGAGCTGCGTTCAGCCTCTTGGGGCCCCACGGCTTCCCCACCCTGAGCCCAACCCTCAGCTGTGGGAGAGCAGGAGTTACTGGGTCGTGGGTTTGGGTTCCAGCCCACCCCACTGGCACTGCCCCTACTTGAGGGCAATTTCCAGTGGAAACCCTAATATTTCTTTGCCAAACAGGCAATGGAGTTTAAGACAACAGCGAGTCCCACACCAAGCCTTGAGACCTGTGCAACCTCAGGGTTGGCTCCTCCAGAATGTGTCCCTGCCCAGAGCTGGAGAGTTGGAACAAGATGGTCTTTAAGGTCCCTTCCAACCCAAGCCAGTCTGTGATTCTGTGATAATGTTACTGCAGGGGGCAAACCACCCACCACGGCTCAGTTTGACTTTCAGTGTTTACACCGAGCCAGGAAAGGGCTGAAATCCTTGGACAAGGACTTGTGAAGGCACATCAGTCTCCAATCAAAAATCCAACAGCAACTCCACTCCTGTCATACATGAATCCTGCCGTAGGTCTGAGTATGCTGAAACTAATTAAAGTTAATTAAGAAAATGTTATCCCCTACCCTCCAACTCCACTGACATCTTACTAAGTTATGAGTTCACCTATAAAGCACCTGCCCATCTCCAGGTGATACCTTCTCCAAAATTACTTCTCTTCTGCACCTACAAGACAGGGATGCCCACTGGTCACTCTGGGACCTCTGAAAACAACCTGGTTTGGTGCTGTCCTGGCTCCCAGGTTTCTTCTACCCTGTGTTCTTTTTGTTCCGGGTCGGGTTTATGCATTTTCCCCTTTCCTGTTGCATTGTGACCCATTTTGCACAAGTTCCCCAGACTGAGCTGCTTCTGGCTCTGGATAATTTTTCAAGCTTGCTCTGGCTTTGCAAAGCAGAAGTGGCTGTGGCACCACTGCCCCACGTGGCTGTTAGTTGTTCCCGTGGGAAGAGCTGCCTCAGCCCCCTCGTGGGCCGAGGAGGAGCAGCTCAGGCAGCACATCCAGCCCAGCACGGCCTGAGGGGCTGGGGAGCAGCCACGCCAGTCCCAGCAGGATGCCAGGGAGGGCTGAGCATGGAGGAGGGGCTGGGAGACCTGTGTGGAGGGTGACACGAGCCAAGATGCCTGAATGGACCATCAGCTCCCCCCCATCCTGGAGTTCCACCTCCCCTCTGTTTTCCATCCTCCCTGCCTTGGTTATACAGAATTTAGGGCCCCTCACCCTATGTGGTCCTGCCTGCAGTCCAGGGATCGTGCGTGGTTGTCCATGAGTATCCAGTGCTGAGTCCCACCTCCCCACCACGGGGGAGCTCCTGCTCCTCTGAGCTCACAGCCCAGGCTCTCACCAGCCAGAGTTTTCTGCAACTTCAACCTCTCCAAGGATTCTCCTTCCCTCCACAGCTGCCCTCTCCCTGGGGACGGCAGGAGGCCTCTTTCCCCTAGGAAGCTCCCCGTGGTGTGCTGTCCCCTCGAAACGTTCCCCTTGAAGAAGCAGCTTCCCTCTCAGCCAGCACAGACAAACCCCTGCACCAGGGGAGGTAAAGCCAAAGTCCAGCTGACCCAGTCTCCGTCAGGACCCTCAAAAGCCTCGACCCTTCCGCCAGCACATCTCCATGGAAAAGCACAGGGGTTCCAGCAAAGCCCGGGGAGCCTGTCCTCCCTGCTTCCTGGCTTACCTGGGAGCGATGCCACGTGGCGTCAGCAGCGTCCACCCCTCAGATGAGCTCTGTGCTGGAGGCATCTCCCCCCAGCTGACTATTTATGATGCCCCAGGGTGTGCTCCCTGTCTTCCCCCTCCCACCCAAGGTCCGCCCATGCATCAGTCATGATCCTTCCATTCAAAGGGTGACTGTCCTGGTTGAATGAGCCAGATCCTCCGGCGCTGTGCCGGATCCTTCTGCACGGTCCTTCCCCCTTTCGCTGCCAGAGTTCATCAAAACAGGCACAATTTCAGATTTTAAGGCTTCTACCACTTCTGCAGTAAATGCCTCGACCACTGAGAAGCCGTTGCTCCTGGAATGACCTGTGGTGACTATGTTAGGAGAACACTCCCCTCTCTCACTAGTATTTTAATAAAAGCTTCTAAATAAGCATTCTCATGTCTCAGCTGGTTCCTAACTCCCACCTTTTTCTTCCTCACAGGTGGCCCAGCTTCTCCTCAGGTGCTGAGTATATCTCGTGCCTTGGAGACAAGATTGAGAGGCAAAGGTTTCTGCACATCTTAATTATTACAAGTCCTCGGACACCACCTTTTCCCATCTGAGGTGCCCATGGCTGGCAGTTACTGTGCAACAGGGAAACTCCTCTGCTACTCCCACAGGAAAGGTCTGGCAGTATGGGAACAGGATTGGGAGAATGTGGATGATCTTTGTGTCCGAGAACAGGAGACAGAGAAACTGTAGCACCAAAAAATGGCAGAAATGGGGCAGTTTTGTTGGCAGAGGAGTTGTAGGTGGCACGAGCAAAGAGAAGAACAGCTCATGGGCTGTGCAGGCAGAAGGAAGAATCTTCTCCAAGAAGAGTTTTGAGATGGCTCCTATTCCTTGTGTGTTCACGAGGACCTGAGGCACAGAGTCTTGCTCTGATGCTGTAAGTAAAAAAAGCACCTGGAGTGCTGCCTTCTGGTCCATACCCTAACCTGCTCTACCCAGGGTGACCCACACCCCTTTGCTGATTTGTTTCAAAGTGGCTTTTCCTGCTTTCAAATCAATGAGTTGAGGATATAAACTGTGCTCCCAGACAGGAAGAAATAGAAGGTGGAGTTGGAGCCCTCAAGAGTCACATGGGAAAACATGAATGGGTGAGGCCAGGTCACATCAGACAATTCTGTTCCTCTAGGAAAAATGAGAGGAGCAGATTATCCAACAGCCCTCTGAAAGGAAAAATCAGAGTCTGCAGCAGCACATAAATTTCTGTTTTATTCCTAAATAAGACAAATTGGTCTCTAAAAGGCAGACAACAGCAAAGGCAAAACATGCAGGACAGCAGAGTGCCGAGAATAATCCAATTTCTCCTTCCTCTCTTTTCTTACTTAGAAAGAGGGGAAGCTTTCCTTTGCTCCTGGAAGAAAATGTGTTGCAACCTCATCTTGTGCCTTTCCTACGTCACGGCGATCTGAGCTTCCCACGCTGCCCCACACATGATCCACTCCATCACCTCCCACAGGAAACCTCCTGCCACGCCACGCCGGGGCGGCGGCAGGGACAATCTGGGATTGCTGCTCTTCCCCTTGTACCCGGAACAGTAACCAGAACAACAATAATAAAAGGCTAATTTTAGCCCAGCACGTGAGGGGCTGTGCCCCTGCCTTTCTCACACGAGAGCTTCATTGTGAAAGCACCAGCACAGCAATTATGGGCAAGGAATTTGCTGCCAGGCCACCCAGTTCATGGCACAGCCAAACCTGGTCCCACGAAAAGCAATCCCAGCTCAGCAAGGTCCTTCTCTGACTTCTCACAGCTTCTTTGCTTCCCTGCTCCCCTTGCCCAAACTCCTTTGGGGCTGGGGAAATGGCACAGGTTGGGTTTCAGGTGTGGTTTGGCTTCAAGGAGGACCAGAGGCTGAGCTGACTTGGAAGTGTTGAGATGAAACCCTTCTGTGCCAAACCAGCCTCCACCTCGGTCCTGGCCAGAGGATGCTCAGCACAGTGGTCCTTCCTGCTCCTCTCTGCAAATCTATTTGTGGAATCTGCAAATCCATTTCTGCCACAAGTCAGCCACGACTCCTCCAAAATCCCCTTGGACAAGCCCTGCAGGGAGTCTGTGGCTAGAACTGCCTGAGGAAATACCAACACGATGCTGCTGGACAGGATTTGCTTTAGTGCCCTTGTCACCTGAATTAACACTTCAGATAAACCAATCCCGTTAAAAATCTGAAGAAGCCTGCAGAAAGGAAAAATAAATTAATTAAACCCAAGAAGTATCTTGAGTTTGAGGTGTCCCTGTAGTTCCTTGACCTGCAAATGAAAAAAGATTTCCACGCCAGTAGGAATGGGAAATATTTTCTTCCTAAGCTGCAGGAAGAGGTAAAGGTGTTTTCCAGCTTCAAACAGGGCAAGACCATGGCAGTGGCTGAGATCACTGTTTCAGTGGAGACCTACCTACAGTCAGGAACACGAGGATGACCCAACATTAATTTCTTAATTATTGTTACCCCACTGTACCTGCCAGGTCCTTGTCCAGAAGGGCCTCTGCTCATCGACATTTCACGTGAGGCCACAACAGAACATCCCAAGAAGCCCCACAACAACTGCAGAAAGCAGAGGCTCTGCCTTGACAACACCTGTACCAGGAGGACACTGACAGGTCAGAACAGAAAGCCCCATTTCCTCTGCTCTTCCAATGGAAAATCCTATTCCTGTCTCTTTTTATTCATTTTCATAAGGGTGTTTTTCCCATCAAGGTCCCAAAAGTTTGTCTCACTTCAAGATTTTGTACCCTCTAGAATGGGCTGAAGTTTTCTTGGGCTGAGCAAGCAGTGCACTTGTTGTCAACAGTTCCTTATCCTTCTACCCCAGTATCCCTGAGGAAAAACTCTGGAACTCCACATGTAACACAAGGACAGACTTTCATTACAACTGAACCAACAAATAAACCCCAAAACCGAAAAACCAAGACCTGAAGAAAGCTACTGAAAACAGTTTGTTTTATTTCCAGGATCAAATATTACAATAGGACATTTACATATATTTATAAAAAATGCAGCAGTTGTGTATATAGATCAGAGGTTTCCTTGAGTTTGGTCCCTCCCAGCACAGTGAGCTGAAATCTTCCAAATGAATCCTCTCCCTCCTCCCACGTGAAGTTCGACATCACTGAAGAAGAAAGCGACCGTTGTAAAAAGTTGTAACTTCAAACTGGACGTTCCCCAGTTCGAGGAAACAGCCTCATTTAAAAAAAAAAAATCATCTGTCCTAGAGTGTGGTGTCTGTGATGAGGCACCACGTCTCTGAGCTGAGTTTTACCCAGAGGTTCTTCATATAAATCTGGTCTATAAAATAGCACCTCGTCCCCTGCTCTGCAGACAGTTCCTGGATCCTCCCGTGCCTTAAATCTCAGCATCATTTCACAAGCAGTTACACAATGACTTTTCTCTGTACTGCAGACACTCACACAGCAACTAAAGCCAGTGACCAAGTCCTGGATTTCTGCCATCACTCACAAGGTACCCATGGAAAACCCTGGATAATCCCAAGGCAGGCTGAGGCACCGGTGCTGAGTGCTGCGCTCTCCGACTAAAAACACGTGTGTGTATGTACATATGGCTCTATTTATTGGGAGTGGACAGACACCAAGCATCTCAGGGACAAGAGGAGACAGGAATAAAAGTCATGGCAGAAAGGGTATCCATTAACCTTCCCAGCTCCAGATCCAAACACGCCCGTGGGCACTTCCAGCAACCCAGATGGCCAACACAGGGCTCAAGGTCAGTTTGCTTTGTCTTTGAAACAGGAGCTGTTCGGTTTGTAGAACATAATTTGTTAAAATAAATAAATAGAAAGGGTGAGGGAGAGCAGAGGCTGGATCTGAATCTATTAGAACAGCCAGACAAGGCACAGCCAGTTCTTATGGGACAGCGACTTTGCTCTTCCCCCACCAGAAGCACATCTCTGCCACCCCTTCTCCTCTTGGAATACAAGACCACCTGTTTTATCAACTTGATCAAAAAGGGGTTAAACCAGAAGAAAGTAGTGTCATTTAATACAAACCAAAAAGGAATAAAAATTAAGTGACAAGTTCCTGAAATGACACAGATCTTTCCACTTGCACCGACACTCCCGCACAGGTCTCTATGTTCATAATCTGGTTTTATGTGGTTTAGACAAACAACCACAAACACCACGTTTCTGCATCTCTGCAGTGTTTGGTACCTGACAAAACACAGCCCAAGTGATGCTTTGCCCCCAGAAGAAAAGAATATTGGTTTTAGTTTAGCCCTTGTTGCTCGAGTCCCCATGAACAAGCTCAGTGCTCTGGGAGGAACAGGAATTCGAGACCCTTCAGCAGGGAGGTGGAGTTATTAAAACCTGAACTAAACCCAGTTTCTGCAAGGGTACAAACCACAGCACTGGCAGAAGGGGAAGCTGCAGAAGCTGGTGCAGGTGAGTGAACAAATTTGGTAATCTTTAGAAAACATGGCTCTGAAGGACGTGGACCTTGTGAAACACAAGCTGGACAGAGCAGAGGTGTCACCTCCCCGTAACAGAGAGGCAAAAGGTCAGGGAGCTCTGGGAGGAGCTGATGGAAAATTCTTGTTTAAATCTCCTTAGGAACAACAGTACCTTTGAATGCCTTTTATAGTCCACTATACCTTACAAGGCTATGTGCACATACTGGACATTCCTTTAATACTGGTGGTGTTAACAGAGCTGATTTATCAGGAAAAGCAACACACTTCAATGTCAGAAATTGTAAAAATCACAGACCTTAATTCAAAGCCTAACAAAAATAACCCAAGTATGACCAGAAATGTTTGGCACAGCCTTCACCTGCCCTTTTGACATCATGCTGTGAGGCTGAAACTGGTCAATCAGCTTGACTTAAGAGCATGTGGCATCAGGAAGATCCAAAATCCTTCTGGGGGCCTCTGAAGGATCACAAGTAGGAAGTAAATGTGTCAGCAGCACCTGGCAGGGAAAGCCAGTGCTCATTTCACTTTCTGTTTGTGAATCCAGGCTGTGACTGGGACTATTGGACATCAAATCCCAAAATGAAGCCCTGTGGGGTGAAGAGCACAGGCAGAGGAAATAGCCCTGATGAGTTCTCTGCCCAGAAAAGCCTCCACT